CAAATAGAAGTTGACCCAGCACTTTTAATATTTTGCATCTGTTAAGCTCAGGATGTTTGGAATAGCAACAGTCTGGTTGAATTTACATTCATAAGTAACTGATATTGAATGTGTCTTTGCTGTCATATGACCCAAAACCAGCAAATGCTCCTTTCTACATTTTCCTGTAGATGTCTTCAAATACCATGTCACCCTGTAGCTACTTGAACTTTACTATATACAGTACATGCCCGATGAATGACAAGCTTTAAGGTTTAATCCTATATAGACAAAACTAATATCTAGTGTGTTTTACTGCAGAGCTTGTTCGACTTGCTAAAGAAAAAGTGCTATGTCATGTCTAAAGCTGAAACAGAAATCTTCTTTGACTTGAGAAAATAACAAGACCTGCATGCATAAATATGCAAATCACATAACTGGCTCCTCAGTCACAACACGGTAGAACAAAATACCACAGACCATCTGATTTTGCTTCCTCCGCAGGGTGTTTTTTTTCTGTGCACAACACCTGGCAACAAAATAGCTTGTACGGAACAGATGTAGTTTTAACGACACACTGCCAACACTTCTTTTCTTTTGTCTTTAACTTTCAGTTTATCAATGTACCTTCCTTGATCTTAATGCATAAAGGGGTAGCCCCACTGTCAAAAGCTAACAACCCCAAATTCCTTGTATGTCTAAGCACTGCACAACAAACTTAATTCCAATTTTGAGACTGCTGCACTCACCAGTATGACCTCTAGTGCAGGTAAAATGCCCATGTTTGACAATGTCTTGAAGAAGGCGTCTCTGTTTTGAGGTTGTAACGTTTGTGAGAATGCACAGAATTCCTTTAGGAAGTTCACCTGAAAGACAAACAAACACGGCTCCATGAAATAAAAGGACAAGGAGAAAAATGACAATAACTTAAAAAGTAATCTGACACAACGGGACATACCAGTTCGTGTCTTTTGTCGTCATCAGTAGCCTCATCTGTTAGCTGTGCAAAGAGGTCTGTCAGAAACTTCTCATCGTCCTGGCAGCAAAATAGAAGAGGAGACGAGTATCACATAGTGGGTCAACAAGTCAGGATGTTTTTAATAAAAAAAGAAAAAGATTAGTGTTCTACGGCTAATTGTACACTCATCCAAATCTATTACAACAAAGTAGTTTCAAAACCGATACAGGGTAAAAAGAAGCACTCACCATATTTACACAAAAATGATTTAAAAGCACAATTATAGTGCGACATAGTTTGTTGTTATACACACCTTTACATTCAATATACAACCAGAAATAAAACACATATTTAATTACTGTTATGTCTAAACTACTGCAGTTTACATTTAGAAAATGTGCTGTATATAGATGATAGATTATGTACCTAGGATGCTTTGTACTGAAAACGGAGTAGCATTTAGTGATAGCTATGATCCAGTTTATCATGTGTTATTTTAAGTTGTTAATTTTGGCTTAATAAAGCTGCTGCTTCTTGGTGAGTGAGGAAGGTCTGCATCAGTTGTTTGACTTCACAACTTCACATAGCACAGTGTACCGGAGTCAACAGCGTGCCAGTTTCAGTTTTCCTCTACCACAGCATAACTGATTTACACAACACTTCTCCATCTCTATGGAGACGGCCATACATAAACACTGCTGAGTTGACACAGTACAAAAACACAAAGGTCACATGACCATAAAAGACTAGCAGACAAACTCAGACTGGGTAAAGCACAATCAGCCAAAAATAAAACCTTTGTACAATCCTACAATTACTGTAATTTACAGTTCTCACTGCATAAACACTGTTTTCAAAATTTTTCTCTTATGTGTACATTCCGATGTCATGACAGGATTGTCTGGAAAGGTTCCTTGTATTGAGGTAATATAAATGTGTATCACATGCATTTGCTAAAGATTTCTCTGTGAAAATGTGGTGCACACATACAACCTAGTAAAAACACTGATGACAAATGTGTTTCACTGGCAACACACGTAATGTCTGCCTCTCTCACCTGTAGCATGCCCACAATCTCCACCTTGTTGAAGAAGATGAAGGAGTGCAGGGTGGACAGCATGTTTTCCTCAAATACAGAGGGCGTGGGCAGCACCATGTCCTGAATATACTGCACCCGATATGTCTGGTGTATTTTCTGACGCAGTTCGGGATCAGAGATGGGGATCACCTCCTTAAAGCGAGCTGTCTCAGTGAGAAACTCTCGATGCCGCCGTGGCTGCTGGAGCGCCGGGTCAAACTCCAGACAACCAATGACGTCCATGATGCACTCGTCAGAGAACATAACTTCAAAGAGTGCCGTGCGATTGAGCAGGAAGATGCCTTTAATGATTTCGTAGAGGTGGTGCAGTCCCTCTCGATTCTCTAAATCCTCACACACGCGGAACAGTTCCAGGAGCTTGCGAATGTAGCCCTCGTTCTCCACAGCAAGTGCCAGTTTCTCGCGCCGCAGTGGCGATGGGAGTGAGGAGGCCACCAGTTCGGCTAGGTCCTCCAGGCGGGTCAGTTCACATGGTGGCAACTCTAGACCTGGCGACGACATGTCCTCGAAGCGCTCTTCCTCAGACTCGTCCACTACATCCTGGGTGATGTCCACTGATGGGTCTTTCCCCTGCACCTGAACGAGACAAACAGTGAATGTAAGTACTGTAGTTGCAGACACTACTAAAATAACCACCCACCACATATAATATTAAATGCACACGCAGATGGAGCAGACAAACACACACCCACACACAGAGAAGGGCACTTACCTGGCATATTTTCTCCCAGATTTCATCACAGCCAGCCTTCTCTTGGAAGCTGAGTGCCAGATCGTAGTTCTCTGCTTCTGACCACACTATCAATGTGTCCTTTTGAAAAGAAAAACAAAGCCACTGTACAACCGGAACACAGAGAAGGGAAATCCACATCTTCCATGCTGCACTATGACAGCATACAACACTTACCTGCTGTTTCTGGTAAGCTGTGTTTGGGTTGATTTTGGACTCCAGCAGTAGGGAACCTGTCAGGTTGAACAAAGATAACACATATGCATCATTATTATGAACAGGACTTACATGAGGAGGATGGGTCATGTGTTGCATACAAATGAGGGTTGCATCAGTGCCAGGTGCTGTTGGCATAATAACCACAACTACAGCTGATTGACTGACACATGCTGGACTCGGACCGATCCCTTACCATCGCTCTCTGCTCGCACCAGCAGAGATGTGCCTTTCAATCGCTCTACATAAGCCGAGGAGACGTGTCCGGTCCCACGGTCATCCCACTGTCTGTCCTCATTGAGGGTGTAGACTTTGACTCGTCGGCGAGTGTCCGTCATCCTGGCAGGTGGTGGTGGTGGCCGGTATCCCCCTCCCGGACCTTCCCTCTCGGCTTTGTCTCACAGGGTGTCCGCCTCACCTAGTGACACCACAACTTCACTTTTCCTCGTTCACCTCTACGGTGCAGCGCTGGTTTCACCCGTGTCGAGTGCTCAACCGGGCTGAGCTTATTCCAAAGTCCTGGGCGAGGAACCAGGAAGAGTCCCCGATCGATCCCCGCAGTCACAACTACGATATGTTTATTTACAACGGGCTGTCTCAAACTTATCGCGCTGAGGAGACTCACAGAGCGCTGCAGCAAGCTAACGACGGACTCGCTTACAGTGCGGAGGGCATTGGCGTTTGCTACCGCGTTAATAGTCAAAACAATAGCTGGCAGACATTACACCCCCCCCCCCAACACACAGCCGAGGGAGCAGTATTCAGAATAAACTCGGCTGTAACGACCGCTGGTTCCCAACGCACCCAGCCTGCCCGATAGTACAGTCTGTACGCTGGAGGGCAACGTTAGCTTGGTGCGTTAGCTAGCAAGACTACCGAGTTAGCTTGCGCGCTAATTGCCTACGCTCCACATGCTCAATGCTGGAAACAACAATTGAAAGCAAAACGAGCAGAGCTGTGCACCGATAGCATTATTTCACACCCGCGGACACCGTGTTAAACCCCCCGCGCCAGCGTTCCCCAATTGTGTCTGAATAATACGCCAGCTAGCTAGCCGTTAGCCGCTATTTCTGCCCCAAGTGTTCCGCCATGTTCTGGCTCGGGGCCGCGGAGAGACCACCCTCTCCATACCGGTATCCGTGCATCCCAAACAACCGTGTGAACCAACAAACTACTGCCGTGCGGTTACTCCGAGGTTACGCCTGACATTACAGCGCTATTTGCCATTCATTCCCGAACGGCTCAGATAATTGCTAACTGGTCCCCCCCCCGTGAGTAGTCAGCCATCTTGGGTCCCTTCACAGTCAGTACGGGGTTTCCAGCACAGCAACAACAGGGCAGCCCGCCACATTTAAAGACACAGTACACAGACCGAAGCTCGTTTTCTGGCTCCTGCAACTTTCAGAAGTTTGAATATAAAACTTACCACGCAGCCCTCCAGTGCACGGTGCACAACGTTCTGCTTGACGTGCATCCGCAAATCAAATCTGGATTTTAACAGGAAACGTTTGGAGACACTGGTCAGAAAACAATAGTTTATTTTTTATTTGAATCAAACTTAAAACAACAACAGGGGCAGTTGAAATCTATGCAAAACAAAAAATCATCAGCATTTTACAAAATGATCGTAGGCTATGGTAACAATAATAACAAGAAATATGGAAGGGAAAAAAAAAAACTATCTGTGATCAGTTAAATTAATAGTGGACATTTACTGATTTAAAAATACATCACCTGCATCCAAAATCCACTGCATGTTCAAATCCGACTTGTCACATAAGTAATATGTAAAACTGAAATCACACTACTAACATTTGATGATCACAAAGTTTTTTTTCCTCCATCTAGCCTGTGGAGCACTTCTTCAGACAGGGATCCCTCTCCATCAATAAGTTAGTCCTTGCAGATAGTAGGGGGCGATCTTCCAAATAATCATATCATGAACCTTTTGACACAAGATCACACACAAAGATGTACTGTTGAGAAGTTGGGGATTCATGGACCACCTGAGTCATGTCTTTTCATGATTTGCTCCTTTTATTACATTTCTTCGACTGCTCTGATGTGATGGTCAATGATAACCGTCTCTATCGGGACCTTGTTAAGTGGGGTTGAAAACACTTTTGACATGTTCATTTGCTTCCTTAAAGTTAGTTGAACTGATCCGTTGTATTTCCTCCAGAATACCCAGAAGATTCCTGACAAAGATATTTGTGCACAGGTGAACTACCGCCACACTACAAATGCCCAGTCATTTGCTAGCATACGTTAAAACCGTTTTTCAAATACGACACATGAATTGAACCATACATGATATAATAGTAGAGCCATCTCGTGGACAATCATTCTGTCGGTTTGTTGCATGATCAAAAGGGTAGAGCAAGAGTACATGTCATAAAATGTCATAATCTCTACAATTTCACAACAGATCCTTGACATCTTAAGATGTTTCACGATATCAACTGTTAGATCGCCCACTCCAACCTGCAGCCATCCACACCTCTATCCTCTTGATGTAACAAACATCGGTGCTGCAGAGCACAACTCCATTTCAATATAAAGCCCAAATGTCCCATGTTACTCAATTTTTGAAACCAGAACCTTTTCCAATGTATAGTATAATGTGAAAACCCACCCCTTATCAAACTGACAATGTTGTCCATATACACAGATCTATAAGATGCTGTGGAAATGTAGTGCAGTGTAAACTCCTTCCAGGTGTGTGTAGCAGGACAACCTGTCACTGACGCCTTTACTTTGCCGCCTGCTGAGCCTGACGTCGCAGGAGGACATAAATCTTCTCCTTGATCCAGTCTTTGTTGTATGGTTGGTATGTCTGGGTGTCAGCTCTGTACCTGTTTGAAATTTCAAAACGATTTGTTTACTGAAAGTGATCAACACACTCAATGCAAGCATGGTGTTCATTCAAATACTAGCAGTACGCCGGACCGATCAAACTTACACAAGACAGCTAAGATCGGCCAAGTCGTCGATGAAGTCAAACAGCTGACTGATGTCATAAGTGATGGAGGGACTGTTTGGATTCATCCTCTTCAGATGCTCTTCATACATTTTGCACACACCTGGATGAGAAATAGGAATTCATGTGCATCAAAATAAAATGGCGAACAACAACTTTCCTTAAGTGCATTGAAGTTACACGACAATGTAACAAGGTTGAGTAGGGAGAGTACACTATGTTCACATAGATACATTTTTAATTCAAAACCATGTTTTAAAATGAAAACAATCTCCATCAAGCATTTTAGCTCATCCATGCTAAAATCCCAATTACACACTGGATGAGCCTGAGGCCCAAGGGTGACGGGGCCATTTCTGTCAGGGCTCACACTCTTTGACTGAGGAGATCCACCTGGCAAACTCCTTATCCTCTCTTTAATCTCTCTTAAAGACACATTTTTATTGGCGGACTTTTGTCTTGAACTTATCATCCATTCAAAACATTTCATAATGTTTTATTTAATCTTGTTCTTACTCTTTCTCATGTGTAACATTTTCCATCTCTGCATCTGTGTCCTGCTGTTGTGTGGTCTTCAAATTTACTTTTAAATGTTTCTTAGTGTTTGCTTTTCAACTGTATCCTATTGTTTGCTTTCATTTTTAACCTGTGAAGCATCTTGTAACTGTGTTTTGAAAGGGGCCATAGACATAACGTTTTTTATTAATATAACCTCAGTGGGACATGATACCATCACTGCCCTTAGAGCTAAATTAGGAGTATTAAATAACCAATCAAACCACATGTAATGACACAGAAGCAAAGAGATCGAGGAATCAAAAGCACTTTAAAGCATCTGCACACTCACCTTCCATACATTCATTCACTGACTCATAGTCAGCGTATGTGCGGCCCTCAGGTCTCTTGGTTGGTTGGACGAGCAAAATTGTGTGCGACTGTAAAAATAAGTGAAATGTTTAATGCACAGGATTAGGAAACATATCTTTGTCACTTCAGACACATAGAGCTGTGCAGTCGATGCTAAACTGTGCCTGTAACACAGATTTTCAACCAGGAGGTAAACGCTAGTTATTTAGCAACATTTCACTGAAACGTGAGTTAATAATATTTCACAAACATCCTGAAAACCTCATTCATTTTCAGACTTCACAGACAAATATGGTTTAATTGCGACCTAACGTTAAAAGCTGGTGGTTATAGCAACAGAACAGATGAGAGAAAATCAATGTTTGACGGAGGAGCAGAGGTTAGCCTCCGAGCTTGTTAGCTTAGCTGCGCTGGATTCAAAAGCAGCTAACGTGGCTAAAGCGGTGCTTCTTCACATGATTAATCGAAGAGGAGAAAGAACTCACCATGTTTGTGTGGACCGGAGACGTTTTCTACTTATTTGAGATGGAAAACTGTACAAAATTCGCGGTTTGTTGCTTCACAATCCCCCGTGCGATGCAGCTGTTTGAGCAGAAATGTTCACCGGAAATGAAAAACGTCTGCTTCCGGTTGTTGAGCGTAGTGCCTTCAGAATAAAGTTCTTGTTTCAAAATAAAGCGTCCAGCATTAAAGCTGCTGGATGAACCTTGTTCTTTGTGTCTATGAATCATTTTTAAAATACTTACTTCAGTAAGTAGACATACTTGAAAGTACAAGTATTTAAAGTGTTTATTGTGAAAGGTAAAAAGGGAATCTCCAAGAATATCAACTAAAGTACTTTATTAAATCACACCATTTTATGATTCACTTTTATTTTACTTTATAAAACTGACCAAATTTTTAATTCAAAGGGTGTCGAATCCAAGTAAGGTGCACTTTTGGAAACGTTGCAAGAAAAATTAGAGACATACTTAAACCAGACCAACTTTTTTTCAATTTATTGATTAGGTTTAATGATTTAATCATGACACTATTACTCTGGACAATTAAGGGATAACACAAATGAATAACACAAACAAAATGCCAAAAATAAAAGAATGCGATTAATTCAAGCTCAAGAGCTGTGATTGTATTTGTTATAATGTGAGTGTATCTAGATCATTTTAAATGTATTTCTGATGTTTAAATGAAATGTGGGATGTGGTAGGTTTCACAGTACATATTTACATATATAGCATATATGTATACAAATTGCATCATAATGAGGGCAATCTTGTCATTCTTAACGTACTGGAGGTATCAGTTGTGTTCATGGTTATGCCCTGGCTCTAATAGCACCCATGGGTGAAGCTCTCCTTGTTGCCCCTCTGGGAGGTGGAGGCCGGGGCTCCCTCCCCACTTGCCCACACTCTCTCTGGCACGCCTCCAGGGACACAAAGTTGTTGGCATTACCATGACAGCTTCCGTACCAGAACTCAGTGCATTTACCGCTGCCTGAGTCATAGAAGAAGCGGATCATCCAGGTGTCACAGGTCCCCTCATCACGAGGCAGGGAGCACACGTTGCCAGGGGACGGAGTGACAGGAGGTGATGGTGGCCGCTCCTGAACAAGGTGAGAAGAAATCTTTACGGAAACTGTAGCTGGTAAATTTATTAGCACTATATGCAAACTGATAACAGGTAAAGAGACTGTCTGCAGATGCTTGGTTCAGCTTTGAATAAGTGTTCTGCAGTTGGAGTAATGGCAAAAAGAGAAAACTGACTTTCATTTGTAAAATCAGTCAAACAGCCTTGAGATACATTTGCATTATTCAACAGCTTTAATAAGTTTATTCAAACAAGATGAGGAACAGATGTGATTCATACCACAGTTGTCTGGTACTCAGGACATCCAGCTCTTCCAAATCCTTGCGCTGGAGTCACCCCATCCAAACAACAGCCATACCTACAGAAGATATTTGTATTAAATATGAGAATGCTTTATTCCATCTCTTCGTCAATAACATTTTCGTCACATAGTTAATATTACCTGCTGCGAACACAGTCATCCTGGGTGCAGCCCTGGTTCCTGGGTCCAGTGGCAGACGTATGGCCGTCAGGACAGCAGCCATAAGATGACTGTGCACAGTAAGGGCCGACCACAAACGGGTAGAGTTCGTTGGCAGTGTTTGTTTGAGATCCAGAAGCTAAAGCAAGTTAACACAAAGACGTGGTAAAACATACTGCTAAGGCTACACTGATCAGTACATGTCCATGGCATGTTTTATATGTTCAGTTAAGGTTATGGCTGATCACTGTATTTGTTTAGATTTTTAGGTTGTAGGATTATAATTTCATATCAGCGGAGTTTGGCTGTATTATGTATTTTATAATCTAAATATGGTCTTCAATAGTTAAGTGGTACAAAAACAGTTTTGTTTTGTGTTTGTGAATAGGAGAAAACTGAGCAATCATGTTCTCGTCAAGTACAATAGTGTAAAGACAGGTTTTATTTTTATTTCCACAAGGAGGCATTCATTCCCAAATAATCTGTTTTAGTGATGACAAATCTACAATAACCGGTTGCACATTCACTCTTAAAATTCTTGGCAGATCATAAACGTAAGCCTATACACATGTAAATTAAATGCATGTTCAAACATGCATAGACAGAGAATAAAACTTCATCCTCTGCTTCATACCTGAGGGGTCTCCTGATGGAACATGGGGAACAAAACCTCTCATGGTGCTTTCATGTGCCCTTGAATCCTGCACGCTCGGGACCGCTAAAGACAAAATTGCATTAATTAACAACAAACAAACACAAATAATTAAACTAACAAAGTTCAGATTGGGCTTACTTTGTGTTCCTGGGCATGACTGCGAGTTGCACGCCTCCACAGAGACAGGCCTGCTCGCTGATCCACACCGGGCTTCAGGGTACGGGTTCAAATCTGTATCAAAACAGCCGACCCTCCTCTCCCTCACGCCCCCTCCACAGCTTCGAGTGCACTGCAGACACAAGACAAGACAGAGTGAGGAAGAATGAGGATATTTAAAAGCTGTCTCTGTAGTAGAAAATACTTTTTCTCTTTACGCACCAGGCCGTAGTCAGTCACGTGCCAGGTGATGCGAGTGTGACAGGCAGGTCTGCGGCACGCCTGGGTAGAGGGGGGTCGTGCCAGTCCACTACAGGAGTGATCGCCCAGATGTTCCCCTCTTGGTCCCACACAGATCACCTCCCTTGACTGCTGGCCTTCCCCACAGGTGACTGAACACTGGACATAGTATGCAACAATATATTAAAATCTTGTATCATCATAAATTTATATTCCTGCCTTCATGATGTAAAATGTAAAATCAACATCGAGATACAAACCACACTGAAGCTGGAGACACTGTACTCAGCAGCACATGGTTGCATGTTGCAGGCCTGCTGACTATGAGGCCTCTGCAGGCGCTGGGTGATGCAGTGGGTCTCCTCCACCACACGGGGGTTTGCCAGGTCCTGAACCCAGCACTCCACACTGCGATGCTGCATGCCTCCACTGCAGGAGGCCGAGCACTCGCCGTAGACACCGGTTTTGTAGATGTACGTGAGCGTCTCACTTGGGTGAGGAGCGACAACAACAGGAGCAGCTGAGTGCACAGAATTAATGTCCTCATCCAAGCCTATAAACTCTCCATGGTTCAGTATCTAAAAAAGATGCATGATTGTAATTGTGTTTGCAGAAAAAAACACTGTGAACAAACCAACTCAATGATAAATGAAGTGAATGATCAGAGGAAGAAAACAGTTAATCAAATCATTATGTCAGGCTACTGAGAATACGAAGAGGAAAAAAAAGCGGCCAAAAGACATGTTTTGTTAGGCCACCTAATGACCTTGACCTTGAATCTCCATTTTGCTCTCACCCTGCAGAAGCCGTCCACACAGATATCAGTGCGGCCCACGTAACACGGCGTCCCATCCACCACTGCAGGTCTGTGTCGATAGAAGAAGTTCTCTCCTCTTGGGACACAGTTCAGCTCACATGGATTGGATGCTAGAACATTAAAGATATAGTCATCGTAAAAACCTCTGTCAGATATTATCTGTAAGAAGTTTGTCCTGCTCAGAATCAAATGTCAATGTCACATGGATTCAGATGATGTGATTGTACAGTATAATAACAGGTGTTTAACCTCCGTAGTAAGGCACCCATGTGCGGTGTTTGCCCTGGAAGTCCCCTCTGTCAAACTGGGAGCACTGCTCCTCCCTGAAGTTCCTGGACCCAGCTGGACATTCCTACAACCACACAACATGTTGGATTACTGGTGTATGATACATTAGTGCAGGTCGTTGGTTGATGTCATTTGTATATAAGATAAATGAAACCTAGTTTAGGGATAATTACTTTTGTGTTGCAGGTTCGGAAGGATTTAGAAGATCCCAGGCAGTTATGTCCTCCGTCTGTTCTGTAAGAGAGAGAATAGAGTGCTCCATTTGTCTTTTGTGGTAAATTATACATTTGGCAATTTGGCATTTGGTTACTTTCAGCTTATTTCAACTCAGATCATGAGACAATCATCTCATTCTGACTCTGCGACTCCATGTCCTACCTTGATGTGATGCATTTCCTGGTTCTCATGGTCACTCCTGTGCCGCAGGTGCGGCTGCAAGGCCCATAGGCTCCAAACTCTCCCCAGTAGTCATGGGTCGGCTGCGTCAGCTGAAAAACACACAGGGAAACTCCCACTCGCTCGGCTGCTACGCTCTCACACGGCATATCACAGCCAACCGTGAACCACTAACACACACTAAGAGCATGCTTGAGACACCGAAATAGAAGCTGGAACATTTAGCCACAAACCACCGCCTACACTTCGAATAGCATCTTCTGTAAACCTGCTCTGTGACACATAAACAACATAAATACCTTTTCTTAGATACTTGGTATTTTTAGGTTGAGATTTCTGGACGTACTGTACTTGGTGTTCTTTTCCATTTCCATTCATACTTAAGCGCTAACATGTGCTAATGATATGATATTATTAATATTGTCAGCAGAAGGAATTAAAGACTCACAGTGAAGGCAGGTACAGGCAGCAGCTGCAGGAGACTCAGGATTAATAGCATCTTCATGTTCACTAAGGATCCACTGCAGAACTGATGAGACGTAAAGCAACTAAATAACTCAACTTTCAGTGCAAGAAATCATATATGAATCATGCATGTGCAATTCCTCCATGTATGTGTATCAGATCATGCTTGATTCCACTGGTGATTCCTTTCCTAATGTTTAAGACATAGATTAATAGATAAGAGATAAGAGTGTTTCACCTGCATAGTTAAAACATGCTGATAATAAATCCGAATGAATTAGAATCTTTCTTACCGTCTTAAAGTGAGCTCTCTGCTGGTCGACCAGTCATCCAGAGGGACGTGCACCTCAGGAGTGAAGGCAGTGAATGACACCCAGCTTTTTATCTTCACACCCGCTCTGCTCACAAACTCTGCGGCCCCATAAAGTGTCAGGTTTCAACCACTGATTTTTTTTTTTTCCCTCTTCTTTTTCTGAAGATGAATACAAGCTGTTATTTCCTCAGTGGAACAGAGTGTCTTCAGTTCAGACCCTCGGGCTGTGGATTTATTTTGGTTTAAAAGTTTTGATACAACTTTT